CTAAAAGTAATCTTAAATGTGTAAATTATTGTTGGTTCAAGCTCTTTTGCTGTATTTTAGCCATCTTCAGGGGTAAAAGGGTTAAAACGTCTTGTTTCTTGGCCCCGCCTCCTCTGTGTGACTCAGCAAAACAGGAAACAGGAAGTGCTCAGAGCTCAGCTCGTATGTCTGACAGCTGTGTGTTTACCCTGGCTTTTAAACTTAAAATAGCTTAGCTGTTTTCACTGCAGGCAGTTATCAAGTTATAGCTGGTGTGTGTTTGTGTTTGTGTGTTTTTGTGGGGCTTTTCTTGTGTTTGATCTGCTTCTACACCTTTTCTCTACTTTCACTTTCAAGAGAAAACAGAAGTGAAGGGCCCAGTATGGCAGGCAGGCTGTCTCTGCCCGAGGAGGACCTCACCTGTTCCATATGCTGCAGCATCTTCAGGGACCCCGTGGTCCTCAAGTGCACCCACAGCTTCTGCGGACCCTGTCTCAACCAGTACTGGACGGGGAAGGGACGGAAACGAGACTGCCCCCTGTGCAGGACCCAGAGCGTGGACGACCCGGTGCCCAGCCTGACCCTGAAGAACCTGTGTGAGTCCTGTGTYCAGAAGGAGGAGGAGGAGGAGGAGAGTCAGGAGGTGGGGGAAGCAGGGGGGGAGATGTGCCCTCTTCATGGGGAGAGGCTTAAGCTGTACTGCTTGTTGGACAAGGAGCCCATCTGTGTGGTGTGCCACACCTCCAGGAAGCACAAGCAGCACGACTGCTGTCCTATAAGTGAGGCACTTCTGGATGTGAAGGTAAACAAAAATGCTAATCTGATAATACACACATCAAATGTTAAAACAGAAACAATGTACACTTCTCAAAAAAAAAGATTTCTCTAAAAAGAAAAAATAAGTTGTGAAAAGGCCATGTTTATTAACACGAAGCATCTCCTCTTCTTTAACTACTTAGTTAATATTTAGAAACTAGAGACACGAGCTGTTAGTTTTTAGGAACAAATGTCCCATTCTCGTCAAAAGCAGTATTTTTTGCTAGATGGAAGCATATGTTGTTCTAAAACCTGTATTTTCTTTTATGTAAGATGAGCTAACGCACCCCTATATCATTAGAAAGGCAAGTTTTTATTTCCATACACATTGTCCCAACTTTTTGAAATTGTCTTATTGTTTAAAGGGATCCACGATTTGTTGTAACATTAAAATTTATTTGGTAAGCATTTATTTTAACTGTAAAATAAAGACTGTAAAAATACTGTAGGCTGTTTAGTTTTTTATCATTTATAAACTAAAAGTTTAAAATATGTTACACGGACAGAGCCATTTTATTTACACACAAAGCATTCTGGGTAAATGATGATGTGGATAGGTCATCTGTGTAAGCAAGCTATATCCAGATTGGCTCTTTTAAATGAAACCAGAGAGCGTTGACAGAGAGGAGAAGGTAGAAATGACAGCCTGTAACTGAAAATATGGATGGAGGACCTCAGTTTAGCTTGTTTGTCGCGCTAGTGTCGAGTTAATGCATATAAGGCAATATAGCGTCAGCGCTAAAGCTAACAGGCTAAGCTGAGGTTCTTCTTC